TTACTGAAACATCATTAATAATGAGTAAACAATAATTAAGTCAGCAACAACACAAAGATGCTTTCAAAAGAAGGCTGAGAAAGAGTTCTTGAAAAAAGCTCAGGGGTCAACACGATGATAATTATTATAATCATGGCTAACTATATACTAGGCTGTGTTCTAAAAGGCTTTCTTTAAATGTATTTATTGAATACTAACAATAAAGGTGCTGTCTAGAAGGAAACTGCCATAGCAAAAAGTTAAGTAGGTCACATAGTAATAGAACTGGAATCTGAACCAAGGCTTCTTTGTCCTAGTTCTTTATCTGTTTGGTCCTTCCAGATAATGTAGAAAGGCCAAAATTAACATGGAAGAATCTTCAATACAAAACTAGACATGTTTTCCCTACAGAAAAAAAAATTGGGAATTAATAACTTTCACAGGTATAGATAGACTGGGTTAGAACTACTCAACGGATTGCCTGAGCTTGACTTAAATATACTTAAAACTTACAAATATCCCTACTTATTTACTTACATGTGCTCTACGCTACTTTAACCAAGTCCCTCAACCAAGTATCATCTTTAATACAATACAGAAACATTATTTCTTGTTCAAATTTTCAAGCAGCACAATGTTTTAAAATTGGCTTTATAAAAGGGTTCACAAACTATGACTAAAGTTCATCAAACTCTAAAGCTTACTTTCCCAGAAAAAAAGGAGTTTCTTAGTAGGCAAGATGCTTTTTTTATCATCAGGACGAGGGGTACTGCTCAGCAGTAGCTCTGTAAGAGCATGCACAAGACACTGGATGCAATACCTAGCCACACACACAAAAAATCTACTCTCAAAAAGATTTACATACATCTGTGAAGGCAAATTTGCTAATATCAACTATCAGAAACATAACAAATTTACCACTTCAATTAATGCTGTTCGTCAGGATTTGCTCATCTATACTTCACAATAAAAGAGACACACAAAGGCACTTGAGCATAAACAATAGTGATAGTCACTATTATCAGCTCAAAAAGAGACAGAACAGGTCTTATGAAATCAATGAAAATAAAGTTTCCAACAAGGTTAAAAATTTACTCTTCTACATAGTGTTTACCTAGAATGAAATAGCTAGAAAAATTGTAATGGATAAAACAGAATATTAAAATTTTAAGTTTGGGAAATTTCTTTTTTATTGGGAGCAAAGAAATCAATTCAACTACCTTCTGCACATCAGCAATATTCACTTAGCCACACATTGCAAAAATTCTGTCATTTCTACTTGCCAGAAAGAAGCTATGTCAATACCTGACATCAATGAAGCATGAACTTAAAATAACTTCTAAAGAATATAGCTAGAGAACAGACTCAAGTGGTGGCATTCCAGCCTTGTAAGAAAATGGAGCAAGTGTGAGGCCCTGAGATCAAATTCAAGATCCCCTTGCCTCAGCCTTCTGGGATGATAGGTATGTATTACCATGCTTGACTTCTACTGGGGGGAAAAAAATCTTACTAATCAGTTTTTTTTCCCTAAAATTTACAAATCTAAGCCAAGGAAGTGGCGCTGTAGCTCAAGTGGTAGAGCGCTCGCCTTGAGCTGAAGAGCTGAGGGACAGTGCCCAGGCCCAGAGTTCAAGCCCCACGACCGACCAAAAAAAAAAAGTACAAATCTAAGCCAACTAAAAAGGAAAAAAAGTTCATATGTATATTTATATGTGTCTTTCTTTAATAGATAAAACATTTTATGCAAACCAGGAAATATTACCAATGTTAAAGATGCTTGGAGACAATTGTTATCAGATGACTGGGTCCTAATTTATTTCACGACTAAATGAGAAAAATCTAAGCATGTGGCCACAGAGGATTCTTTTAATTCTAAATACTGGTTTCGCCAGTGGCTCACGCCTGTAATCCTAGCTAGTCACTCAGGAGGCTGAGATATGAGGATCTCGGTTCAATGCCAGCCTGGGCAGGAAAGTCCATGAGACTCTTCTCTCCAATTAACCACCAGAAAACTGGAAGTGGTGCAGTGTCTCAAGCAGAAGAGTGCTAGCCTTGAGCTGAAGAGTTCAGGGACAGCACTCGGGCGTACTTCAAGCCCCAAAACTAAAAAAAAACAAAAAAAAACCAAGGTTTTGGGGGCTGGCAATGTGGCTTAGTGCTAGAGTGCTTGCCTGGCATGCATGAAGCCCTGGGTTGGATTCCTCAGTACCATATAAACAAAAAGCTGGAAGTGGTGCTGTGGCTTAAGTGGTAGAGTGCTAGCCTTGAGCACAGAGAGGCTCAGGGACAGTACCCAGGTACGGAGTTCAAGCTTCAAGCTCCAGGACTGGAAAAAGAAAACATAAAATAATGTTTCTTATTTAATGTTAAATGTAAGGTAGGGCTACTTCTAACCTTTAGTAAATAATATACAGGCATCAAAAACTTCAGCTGTTTCTGTACTTAGAAATTCTCAATTGATATTATATGACCAAGAAAGATCAGATTTAAAATCCCAAATGCAAAGCTACATGCAACTTCCAACACCAACTTCTGAACCAAGGTGATTAATTCAATGAATCAGAATATCAAACCATTCTTTTGTAGTTGTTGTTTTGTCGGTCTTGGGGCTTGACCTCAGGGCTTGTGTGCTATCCCTCAGCTCAAGGCTGGAGCTCTCCCTATTGAGCCACGGTGCCACTTCCTGCTTTCTAGAGCTTTATTGGAGATAAGAGTATCAGGGACTTTCCAGCTGGCTTTGAACCCTGATCCTCAGATCTCAGCCTTCGGAGTTAGCTAGGATTATAGGCGTGAGCCACAGGCACGCCAGGCTCAAACCGTTCTTAACCAGCTTTATTGTGCTCAAAAGTAGGTCAAAGCTCATCTCACAAATGTGTGTGATAATATTTTCAGATAAAAGATTACGGGACTGGGAAGGTAGCTCAGCCGTAGAGTGCATGCCTTGCAAGCAGGAGGCCCTGGGTTCGATTCCTCAGCACCACATAAACAGAAAAAGCCGGAAGTGGCGCTGTGGCTCCAGTGGTAGAGCGCTAGCCTTGAGCTGAAGAGCTGAGGGACAGCGCCCAGACCTAGAGTTCAGGCCCCATGACCGGCAAAAAAAAAAAAAAAAAAAAAAAGATAAAAGGTTAGACAATATAAATCGTTAAATTTTGAAATGATGAAAAGTAATAATATTTGACACTTATATTTCCTGCTGAGTAATATCAGTAGTTTCATTTAAATAGTGATTTCATACTTACCATTTCCCTAAATTTTATAACTCTACATAAAGTGTGCAGTGTTTTTTATCAACACAATCCAGACTAGCTCAGATAAGTTTTGCAGCTCTGACTTCAATCAGATTATCTGATTTAAAGTTTAATGTTTTACAAAATCCTAAAAAGCAGTGATTCCATCCAGCCCAAGGCAGGAAGAAATTAGAAAGAAGAAAAGCTGGATAAATGAGCGGAACAAAAAGAGAATATAATGAACAAATTTGGCAGTAATACAATCCATAAACAAACTCAGTGGATTTAAATGATAAACCTAGCTTTTATAATTCCACCATCAAAGATCGTTATTGCACTTAAAAGACAAGTGTAAAAAAAAGTGCTAACTCAAAAATATGTGAATTAAACAACAAAAGACAATTCTTGAAGTCGGAGGCATGGCTCAGTTAGCAGAATGCCAGTCAATGAGTGAAAGCATCAGGTACCAAGTTCAAGGCTTGATCTCCACCAAGAAAAGAAAAGAAAAAAAAAATCCATTAACTGAAATCTTCAGAAACTTGTTTATATTATTTTCTTTTGGGAATATGAGCCATATAAACTTAACTATTAACCAAGCATATTTTTTGTGAGCGTTCTCTCTCTCTCTCTCTCTCTCTCTCTCTCACACACACACACACACACACAAATCCACAATTTAAAATAGTGTAGGCAAATAAGTAAGAGCCTTCCATGTCATACTCATTTCACATACATAAATTTGTCATATTTGTCTGGGTACCAACATCGCGCTTCCAAAGGCCAATTACAACAATCTGGAACGCATAAAATGCTGACTTGTAAGTAGATCCTTCCCATTTTCGACCCTAAGAATATATAGCCATTAAAATCAGACCTAATGGTAATACAACAGCTGTCGGAATATTAAATTCTCCGTCATTGCAATACTAGATAAACTGGTACAAGGTTCTCTAAATGATCCATGGCAGTCTGCAAAATCTCCGAGAAGGAACACCAAAGCAGAACTGAAAGACTTCTGGGTCAGCATAAGACACGATGTAGTCAAGATAAACAAACAGTGCCAGCCTACACATGATTAGCCCTTTGACGGAGTTGCAGAGAAACAAAAGATGACTGGGTAAATTCTATTGGCGGTCCTAAGTCACCGCCAAGTGTGTGACATGGGGCTAAATAAATACAATTTCTTGAAATTTTAAAGATGAAGCCGACCTTCGAGTCTTACTGTAAATACTTCCACTGTCGTGAAACACCAGCGTTGGGGGGGGGGGGGGGGGGGGTTCAGGGGTTTTGGCAAAGGCAAAGGCATGACAGTGGAGAGAGATCCGACTAGGTCCTCGGCGAAAGGCCCATTCCCTGGGCACTAGGCACTGCCAGATGGCACCTGCATGCACACCGGCATTTTGTGCGGACACATCGAACAGCAGGCGCTTAAGTGACCGGCGAGGGCAAGAACCCCACAGCGAAAGGTCCCGAGAAACAGCTCAGTCATCAGCAGGTTAAGACCTTTCCTCCATTTACCAAGGTCCCGGACACCTCAGAAGGTGAGGGGGGCTCTCTATGGAAGCCCAAGTCCGTAAACGGTCGGGAGTGCGTCCACTGACGGGGTTCACCGTCCCGGCGACCACTCAAGGAGAGGTGTCCCAGATAAATAACCTGGCTACGGTCGAGCTGAGACCTCCAGTCAGCGGTAACCTCAGACCCCTCAGCAAGCCCAAACCACCATGCCCGACGGGCTGAGCTCCGAGAGCAGCCACGCTCTGAGGACGGTCGCAGGCTCCGGTTTCCCCGGCTTACCTCCCCACTCCGACTCCGGCTGCGGCTCCTCAGGATCCCAGAAGCTGCTCAACACCGACTCTCACACCCGCCGCTGGGATCCCGGCCAACCGGAACTCGCTTGCGTCACTTCCTGTGCTCTCCCCCTCCCCTCCACGTCCCGAGAAGACTGCCTCCAAACGAGAAACGTTCCACCTCAGTTGGAACCAACCGCCTCGGTTAATTACCATACGGCCGCCTCCGCGAAATCTCGCGGGATTTCTGTTGAAAGAGGCAGAACGACTGCTAAGCTTCGTTCGTGGTTCTTGATCCGGAATTAGTTGTTTCGGGAACTCCGGAAGTGGTTGCTGGCGCGCGAGAAGCGTGTTCGCTCCCTAAAAGTGAAGTGGCCGCCGCGGTGCGAGGGAAGGGACCTGTTTAGGTAGGTGGTGGCTCCTTCCGGGGCGAAAGAGCGGGTTGCCGGGCTCCATTGGTCCTGTAACTCGCCCCGTTTTCGTGTGTGTGTGTGTGTGTGTGTGTGTGTGTGTGTGTGTGTGAGTGTGTGTGTGTGTGTCTGTGTGTCTGTGTGTGTGTGTGTGTGTGTGTGTGTGTTGGTCCTGGGGCTTCAGCTCGGGCTTTGGGTGCTGTCCCCGAGTATCTCTTTTGCTCAAGGCTGGCGCCCTATCACTTAAGAGCCACAGCTGCATTTCTGGCTTTTTACGAATTAATGGGAGATCAGAGTCTCACAAACTTTCCTGCCCAGGCTGGCTTCAAACCACGATCCTCACTCAGCCTCCAGAATTGCTAGGATGACAGGCGCGTCCACCGGCGCCCAGTGATCCCTGGTTCTCTTCCCTCTTCTGCCTTTGGAAGAAGGAGGCAAGATGGCCTTCGAGAAGGGGTAGGACCCGAAATTTCTGGTTTTCATCATCCATATCTCCTCGTCTGGCAGCATTGATCGATGCCTTTTTTTTTGTCTGTCATGGGTCCTGAACTCTGGGCCTGGGCACTGTCCCTCAGCTCTTCAGCTCAAGGCTAGTGCTCTAGCACTCGAGTCATAGCGCCATTTCTGGCTTTTTCTGTTTATGTGGTGCTGAGGAATCGAACCCAGGGCCTCATGCGTGCGAGGCAAGCGCTCTACCACTGAGCCACCTTCCCAGCCCGAGGCTAATATTTTTTAAACACATCACGTCCCAGGCATTGTACCAGCACCTGGGAATAGACTGTTCGGTAGTTATGTATACATGCTACGGAAGAAAGTCTGGGGAATGGTAAAAACTTCAGCTAGACTTCTACAGGCAAATGGGATGTTTTTGTGTGTATGTTTTAAATGGAGAAGACTAGCAAAGAGAATTTTAGTGTGGCCGTATGGTACAGTGAGTAGCAGGAGAAAAAGTTTGGAAGGGAAAAACTAATTATGTAGTGCTTTGAATTGGTGCTGAAAGATTTGTTTCATTCTGTAGGCGTTCAAGCTGATGATTTTCAAGCATGTGCTTTATAATTATAATTAATGACAGTACCAGCTAGGATGAAGTAGAGCAATAGTGAAGCAAATGGGCAGAGATGGGAGTTTAGAAAGTTAATTTTGGAAGCTGTTGGCAAGAAATGACTAAGACACTGAAGAAATAAAAAGATCTATTGAAGATACGTTTCCTTTTCAGGACTTAAGAGGAGGGAAAGTACAAGATTTCTCAAATAAAAAATACAGAAAATGTTTGGGGGCATAACTCTGGGTTTGATGCCCAAACACTCCCACCCCCCACCCCCAAATGCAGTGTGGCTGATGACTTAGGCCTGTAATCCTAGCTGCTCAGGTGGTAGAGATTAAGAGGATCACAGTTCCAGGCCAGCCCCAGCAAAATGTCTTTGAGGCCTCATGGGAATGAAAAGGCTGGGCATAGCAGTGTGTACCCCAGCTGGTGAAATCTAGCAGAAACTGAAGGTTCAAGTTTTGGAGGCCTGTGCCTAGGATGATTTGGGAATAACAGAGCTTGTTTATCTAGCTCTTTCTCCTCCCACTAGAACATTAGCTCTGCGTGGAACTGTTTTTCTCTTGTTCCTCCCCACCCCCCAATCTTCAGGCTTCTAAACTACCTAGAGCATAATGAGCCCTTAGTGAATACTGATGGATTGGACCAGTGCTGTCTCATAAAACTGTCTTTAATCATGAAAATATTCTGTTTCTCCCTGCGTGAGTAGCTACTAGACACTTTCAGGTTGTTGGATATTTAAGCACTTGAACTGTGGCTAAGTATAGCTGAAGAACTTAGTGTTAGCAGCTAATATAAGTTTATTTATGGCTAAAGGTTACCATATTGGACAGTCAATAGACTGAAATGAAGACCATGTGTAAAGTTATGTAATATAGTTTATTGAGCTCTTTAGTCAGAAAGAAACTAAAAATGCTGAGCTGTTGGATGCTTAGGTGAAAGTTAAAGAATTCAAGGAGGAAGCTGAGTGCCAGTGGCACATGTGATCATTTTAACAGTGTTGATTCTTCTGATGCATCAGTCTGAGATATTGTGTCAGTTTTTCTCGTGTTTTCTTTAATCAGTTTTTTTAAATATAGTTTTCACTGTAGAGAGAGCTTTCTTGGTGAAGCTTATTCTGTAATAATTTCTTTTGTAGGTATTTTGAATTGTATTGCTTTCTTCATTTCTCTCAGGAAGTTCATCATTTGAAAAAGTTTTTTATGAGTGTTTCATTTTTCCATGTATGAATGGTCTTATCTGCAAACATGGATTATTTAACTTCATCTTTTTCCAAGTTGGATTTCTTTTCTTGACTAATGACTCTTACTAAGATTTCCAGTAATGTTTAATAAGAAGGGTAAGTCAAGCCAGTTGCTGGTGGGTCATGCCTGTAATCCTAGCTACTTTGGAGGCAGAGAATTGAGGTTCAAAACCAGACTGGTCAGGAAAATCTGTGAGACTCCTATCTCCAATTAAACCACCAGAAAACCAAAAATGGCACTGTGGCTCAAAGTGGTAGAGTGCTAGTCTTGAGTAAAAAGAGCTCAGGGACAGTGCCTGGGCCTTGAGTTCAAGCCCCACAACTGACAAAAATAAAAAGAATGGCAAGCCAAACTGGGTGCCCGTGGCTTGTGCCTATAGTCCTAGTTACTTTTGAGGCTGATATCTGGGGATCACAGCAAGAAAGTCCATGAGACTCAACCACTAAGAAAGCCAGAAGCCTACTGTGTCTCAAGTGGTAGAGTTCTAGCCTTGAGTACAAAATGTCAGGACAGAGCCCAGGCCTTCAGTTCAAGTCACAGGACTGGCATCAACAACAGCAACAAAAAGAATGGTAAGTCAAATGTGGTGGCACATATCTATAATCCCAGCAATCAAGAGGCTGAAGCAGGAGAACCACAAATTTGAAGGCAACCTAGGTTACATAGCAAGACCTGGTCTGAAAAGTTTCCTCTTTTTTTGGTCAGTTGTGGGGCTTGAACTCTGGGCCTGGGGCTCTGTCCCTGGGCTCTTCAACTCAGGGAGAGTGTTCTATTGCTTGAGTGGTTTATTGGAGATAAAGAGTCTGATGGACTTTTCCTGCCCGGGCTGGTTTTGAACCACTATCCCCAGATCTCAGCCTCCTGAGTAATAGCTAGGATCTATAGGCATGAGCCACCCGCGCCCAGCTCTTTTTTTTTTTTATATATGGAAATATCCTAAATTTCCACAGTCATGGATCAGATGACATACAGGACACAAAGTGTTGCTGAAAGTTTGTTTTTGGTCATGGGGCTTGAACTCAGGGCATGGGTGCTGTCCCTCAGCTCTCTGCTCAAGTAGCCCTCTACCACTTGAGCCACAGCGCCACTTCCAGCTTTTTCTGTTTATGTGGTGCTGAGGAATTGAACCCAGGGCCTCATGCATGTGAGGCAAGTACTCTACCACTAAGCCACCTTCCCAGTCTGTTGCTGAAATTTTGAGTTATAAAAGTTTTAGCCAGGCGCTGGTGGCTCACATCTATAATCCTAGCTACTCAGGAGGCTGAGATCTGAGGAGCACAGTTCAAAGCCAGCCTGGGCAATAAAGTCTGTGAGATTCTTTATCTCCAACAAACCACTAGAAAACCAGAAGTAGAACTGTGGCTCAAGTGGTAGAGCGCTTGCCTTCAGCTGAAGAGTGCAGGGACAGCACCCAAGCCCAGAGTTCAAGCCCCACGACCGACCAAAAAAAAAGTTTTATTAAAATGCAAGAAGTTCGCTAGCGCCGGTGGCTCACACTTGTAATCCTAGCTACTCAGGAGGCTGAGATCTGAGGATTGCAGTTCAAAGCCAGCCGGGGGAAGGAAAGTCTGTGAGACTAACATCTCCAATAAACAACTAGAAAACCAGAACTGGCGCTGTGTCTCAAGCGGTAGAACGCTCACCTTGAGCTGAAGAGCACAGGGACAGCGCACAATCCTAGAGTTCAAGCCCCATGACCGACCAAAAAAAAAAAAAAAAAGCAAGAAGTTCAAAAGTAGAATCAAGGTACTTCCAAATCTATTCTAGAATGTCAATTCCATCACCATTAGGGAAGGTACTTTCCTGTTTTGTGTTTTCTTGTATACTTTGGACCCTAGAGCCTAGCCCAGTATTTGTGAAGAATGCAGTAGTTCATAAAAACAATAGAACTTCTGGCACTATTTCTGATACTTGTTCCTTCAGCTGTGCCCTAGGTTTAGTATCCTCTTTAAAATAAAAGCCTGGGGCTGGGAATGTGGCTTAGTGGTGGAGTGTTTGCCTAGCATGCATGAAGCCCTGAGTTTGATTCTTCAGTACCACATAAACAGAAAAGGCTGGAAGTGGCACTGTAGAGCAGAGGGCTAGTCTTGAGCAAACAAAGCTCAGGGATAGTGCCCCAGGCCCTGAGTTCAAGCCCCAGGATTGGCAAAAATAAAAACAAAAACTCTTCACATAAACATAGCCAATTGCCTTTCCAGCTCATGTTTCATGCATGTGTGCAAGTGCTGCCTTCTACATGAGCTCACATAATTCTTTAAAAATGCTGCTTATATTTGTCTGAGAAACTTGAAAGTTTTCACTGCTAGATAGTAATAACTTTCTCCTTTCTTTTAAAGATGCTCTCCAAGTCCTTGGCTATGGAGTATTTGGCTCATCCTGGTGCACTCAGCTTGGCTGCTGGAGTTGCTTGTGGCATATGCCTGGGATGGGGCCTCAGGATGCGCTTTGGGATGCCACCCACACGCCTGACAAGTGAGCCTGACGCAGAGACCGGAACTGAAGCAAGCATCATGGGGGAGAATGGGGAGTACAAAATGATTCTTGTGGTTCGAAATGACTTAAAGATGGGAAAAGGAAAAGTTGCTGCTCAGTGCTCTCATGCTGCTGTTTCTGCCTACAAGCAAGTCCAAAGGAAAAACCCTCAAGTGCTCAAACAGTGGGAATACTGTGGCCAGCCCAAAGTGGTAGTCAAAGCCCCTGATGAAGAAACCCTGATCGAATTGCTGACCCATGCAAAAATGCTGGGGCTGACTGTAAGTTTAATCCAAGATGCTGGACGTACTCAGATTGAACCAGGCTCTCAAACTGTCCTAGGAATTGGGCCAGGACCAGCAGACCTAATTGACAAAGTTACTGGTCACCTAAAACTTTACTAGATGGGTTTTTGAGTGATGGTAATCCTGTCACAGTGTTTGAAACCTGTCAAATTATAATAAAACTGGATTTCTTCCCCAACTTAAATATCCTCAAGATGAAAATAGAATCTTGGCAAGAATTATTTTTGGGGCAAAAAAAAAAATCTTTCTGGTTAAATGGCCTTGGTGTTTCAAGTAACAGATGCTGAAACAAATAATGAAGATGAGCAAAATGTGTCATGATAAAGGTGGATTTAAAAAGCGGTAAAAAGCCGCACCCTGGTGGCTCACGCCTGTAATCCTAACCACTCAGGAGGCTGAGATCTGAGGATTGTGCTTCAAAGCCAGCTGAGGCAGACAATGCCATGAGAATCTCACCTCCAATAAACTACTCAAAAAAAGCCGTAAGTGGTGCTGTGGCTCAAGTGGTAGAGCACTAGCCTTGATCACAAAGAAGCTCAGGGACAGTACCCAGGCTCTGAGTTCAAGCTCCAGGACCAGCAAAAAAATATAAAAGTGGGTAACAGCATTTCCTTATGTTAGGTCCCTTTTTATCTTTGTTATCAGGTCCTTCCCTGAAACTGTTTACTCTCCCTTTCTTTGGAGGATCTGGATCATGGGTAGTCCCAGTGAGTTCAAATTGCAGTTACTTTTTTACTGTTTTTATTTTTTTGTCATGGGGCTTGAACTCAGGGTCTGGGCGCTGTCCCTGAGCTTTTTTTGCTCAAGGCTAGCGCTTTACCACTGTGAGCCACAGGACTACTTCCCATTTTTGAGTGGTTAGAGATGAGTCTCACAGGGACTTTTCTGCCTGAGCTGGTTTTGAACTGTGATCCTTAGATCTCAGCCTCCTGAGTAACTATGAATACAGGTGTGAGCCACTGGCGCTTGGCTTACTTTTAGCAGTACTAATGCATGGTAGACAGGTACTCTAGCACTTGAGTCATACACCTCCATCCCCTTTTTGCATTGGTTAGTTTCAAAATAAGTCTCACTGTAATGCCCATCAACTTGGGCTGTGGTTGTGCCACGTCACTAGGCACATGCCCTGCCCTCAGCCATTGTGCTTCCTCCGTAGCTTAGAAAACAGGTATATACCACTGTGCTGAGACACTGAAAATAGGAGTCTCTGAAAATTATCTTTGCTGTGCTAGCCTTGAACTCATCCCCCGATCTCTCCTTCTCAAGTAGCTAGGATTATAAATTTGAGCCACCATTTCTGGCCCTGCTTGTTACTTTTTTGGATGACTGATAAACCTATTACTGATCATGATAGAGCCATCCAATGGAATCCTGATTTCAAATTTAACCCTCTGGAGTTCTCATTTGTGTTTTAAAGTTGAAGTTTTTCAGCACTGACAAAACCCATCTGTAGTATTCAACACTCATTTCCCTTGACCCACTCTGGCCTAAGGTTCTCAGCAGTGGTTCTAAGTCACAGCCAAATAAAAATTCTTTTATTTCCCTTTTTCTTTCAATGGTGAAGCAACTGAAATTTGAAATTGCCTTGGAAGATGGAAATGAAGCGAAAGAAATGATCCTAACTAAAATGAATATTAGTTGTCACCAATGTTTCCAAAGAACTTAAGGAGTTAGCAATTTTATTATTTTAAAGGCATTCCCCTTCCTTTTGATCCTTATATAGTTGATGTAATTCTAGTAATTACATAAGCTGCCCAAAATGATTCACTAGGGCCCAACTTCCAAAAATCACATAGCTTCCCAGTAGTCTTGCTAGAATTCATTTTCCTTGAAAGCCCATGGGGAGTCTGACAGCAATTTCAGAATATATCCCTAATAATCCAGTAGATCTAAGAACTATGAGATCTTTATCAGTACTGTGAAGTCACAAATTAAGGAGTTTAAGACTTCCAGCTGGAACTCTAAAAACAATTACAGGCTGTCTCAAAAGTTGTAATACTTGATGCATACTTAGAATACACTAACATATGGCAACACAGGAGAAATTGCAGCTGTGAATGATGACACTGTAGCAACTGTTTCTAAACACATTGTTTATACTAGAGTTAAAATGATGCAACAACCTGTAACTGAGTTAAACGCAATCCTAAATTCATGATATGAGTTGAATAATTTCTAAGACTTAACTCAGATTAATGACTCCAAATTGAGACATTATACATTCCCAACAGAATGGCCTGCCTGCAGTGGCTGGTTTAAGAAATTAATAAATCGGGGCTGGGAAGGTGGCTCAGTGGTAGAGTGCTTGACTTGCATGCATGAGGCCCTGGGTTCCATTCCTCAGCACCACATAAGCAGAAAAAGCTGGAAGTGGCGCTGTGGCTCAAAGTGGTAGAACGCTAGCCTTGAGCTGAAGAGCTGAGGGACAGCACCCAGGCCCAGAGTTCAGGCCCCACAACTGGCAAAAAAAAAAAAAAGAAACGAAACTAATAAATCATTACCTATTAGGATGAATATTATAAAAATTCTGGAAATATTCTAGTGTTTACTGCTCACTGTTAAAGTATACTTTGCAAAGCTCATTGACTCTTATTACAGGATCAAAACTATTTTGATAGTCCTAAGACATTTGGATTTTCCCTGTATTGACATTTGCACCAATGAAATGCCAGTTTACTGTATCCTTTACTGCCTTGGGCTCAAAGTAGTTTCACTTAATATCTTTGATGAAGCACTAAAAAAGACTGACCAGTGACTATTTGTCTTAAAATTCTGTGTAACAAAACATCAGACTATGCTTAAGAGAAATGATTTGTCTGAGTCATGAGCTCAACCAGTTTCATTAACATTTTTACTTCCAAGGACTGTAACTACAGTTTACTGAAATCTGGGTGTAAAGGAACCAGTCACCTCAAGGAAAACAACTGTTTACTATCTCCTCTCTTCATATAATTCAATGTAGAGATCAGTATTCCTCACAAGAACAACTTAAAAAAAATGTAAGCGTCTGGGAAAAAAACCCCCACACTTCAGTAACTTAGTATTTTCCATATAACCAGTTTAATACTGCATAATGTGCAATGAGTATTGGTTATTTCGATTACTATTTCTAGACTTAATTTCTAATGGTATATAAATGACAGGTCTGGGGAGCTTCTGTTATTTGAGAATATAAAAGATCAAAGTGAGAATGTATGTGAATAACAGAAAAGTCAAGTGGCACTATTAGGAGCAACATTGAACGTGACCAACACGTATTACATTATTTATATAATGGCTGGACTTGGATACCAGACAAATCACTGAAATTCTGCCATTTCAAAAATTTCCCATTAACCTCTCCCCTTTCTTTGTGAGTCTTCAAGTAAGTTAATAACTTTTAGGCCTCTTATTTTCTGGTTTCAGTTTCCTTCCCTAGACCATGCATGGTGGCTTATACTTAAAATTCCCTACACTTAGGAGACTGAGGCAGAAGGGACACAGCCTTGGAATATATAGCAACATCCTATTTCAAAACAGTAACCAAAAAGAAAAGAACCCCCCAAACCCAACCACATACTTGAAAACTGAAAAGTACTTAGTGTTTATATACAGAAAACAAACTCACTGAGGATTTGAGCCTGACCTAAATCACTATTTCTAGTGTAGTCCATTATTGATAATTCAAGTGGCACCTCAGTATCACAGGATGTAACACAGTATTATAGCCAGGCTTTTTGTTGAGAAAAAAAAAATGCTATAAGAAAACAAAGTATTCTGAATGGTTTCTATTACAGAATGGAGCAGAATCATGTTATAAGTACAGGAAAGGTGTAGGTAAACAAATCTTTATTGAAAAGATGAGGGTTCCTTCTCCTAGATTTGTTAGTGATGCAGATAGAACAGCTAGGTCTGAGCAAGAGGTTTTTACTATAACAAACCTAAGGAACTTTCCAGCTAACAGTAATTACGAGACAAGAATAGTAAAGCAAAAATTACTAGGGAAAGATACAGGAGAAGCATTTATGGTAAGGTATCTAAGAGTGGTAGAGCAATAAGACTAGGTAGTAGGAAGAAAATAAAGTGAATGTAACATTTGTAGTTGTAAGACTTGGATTCACATACCAGTTTAAAAAGAAAAGGCAAACTACCCATAATTTGAGTCCTTTATAACACAGGATTAGAAACAGCATGTTAACTACTCTTTAAACATGTGCACAGCTGTAATCACAGAAATCAGGAGGACTGAGGCAGAATTCAAGAATTTTAGCCCACTTTGGAATATATAATGAGCTCTAGGTTTGCCTGGGCTACATGAATTCTCTTTCACACACACTTTCAAATTAACATAGCATCTGTGATTTAGTTAGGTAAAATGGTTAGATTAAAACAAAAAAATAAGCCAGGCACTGGAGGCTCACAACTAGCAACTCAGTGGCTCACACCTGTAATCCTAGCTACCCTTGAGGCTGACAAGGATCATAGTCCAAAGCCAGCCTGGGAAGGAAAGCCAGGGAGACTCTTACCTCTGATTTATCACCATAAAGCTAGAAGTGGAGCTGTGGCTCAAGTGGTAAAGTGCTAACCTTGAGCAAAAAAGCTTAGGGACAGCACCCAGGCCCTGAGTTCAAACTCAGGACTAGAACACACATACAACCCATGCCCAATCTAAAGGGCTAGGGCTAGTTGGTTAAAATATTGAGTAGCCAACTACTGAAGTGACTGATTCTTCGGATTATTGCATGTATACTTATTAACTGGGATGCTCATGACCTGATAGTCCAGTTTCCACATATCCCAATCTTTATTTCTCATATTCTTTGGACTGCCTTCGTATCTAATATGAAACTGCTAGTACTACTGTTATTTTGATTTTAGAGGAATTTAATTAAAACTCTGATTCTACACATTATTTCCACAGTCCAGTAATTTATTTTAAATTGGAGTAATTTCAAATTCCACAAAACTGAAGAACAGCAATATTTTGTTTGAATTCTCTCTTCTGTACACTCAGTGATCTAAAACACCACAATATCCAACATACACAAACCTCAGGGAAGGGTTAGTAAATACACACAAGAGTGGAATCATGGTGCTCTTTGTTCCTGAATGGAATGGTCCCACAGAAAAAGCACAGGATACAGCACAACATAAGGGCACCTGTTATATATGAAGTGAGCAAAACACACTAGCATTTTCTATATG